AGAACTGTGAAATTTATTTATACTTAAATAATTATGTTCGTTGTTCTTATTAATGCTGTATCAAAAAACAATGAAGAAAATACTTSGTAAAAATCCTCGTCATACTTATACGTTTGTCAACTCTCTTATCATCAAAAGTGTGAGAGTGAGAACCAATAATTGTCTACAAAGACCGTTTCTATCTCTCAATAAAATATAAATCATTATTTAAATAAGTCGGTGTTAGAGCAGTGTTAAATGCGCAACTAGGCATGGCTAAAAACGAATTGCGGTAACGGAAACTTATTTACATTTAAATAATAAATACTTTTTGTTTTGAAACAATTTACACCATCTTAAAGCCAACCATTTAAGCCAATTCAAAGTTAAACAAAATATTTATTTCCTTTTGTAATTTGCATAAAACCGCTTGCTATGACAATGGCGCGCCAAAACCAAGCCCTCGATACAATTCGACGTGCCTTCACTTTTACTTTTCGCTGGTGTTTTGCCGCGTAACTGAAGTCATTAATAAATTGAATTTGCATCGTTAGTAACCGTGAAAACACAGCAAGCGTACGCGCCGCATCCCCCAATCGACTGTCGCACCGACAAGTCAAGTAAATGCCACGTCACAGGCAATAACTACAAAAGCGAAAGAACATTCAATTGCCCTTCACTGAATATGAAATGCAAAGTAAATTATTTACAATACAACTGTTGGCAAGCAGCGCACTTCTCGCACGCGCTCTGCCTCGGTGCACTTGCCATTGTCTTTACGCCTGCCAAAATCTTCGATTTTAAAATCAATTCTCCTGATGACTGTATACAGCTCAGTTCACTCGAGTATTTACACGTTCTACGTTTACTTTCGAGGCGCACAACAGTCTGCAGAAAGCAAAAGTGGCGAATCTGCCACGGAGAGTGTGAGGCATACTTCCAGGCGATGAGGCCGGTGTGGAGGCGCTTAGTTGCCGTCGATATCTCCCACTAAGGAGCTGGCGCAAAAGTAAATGGAATYGCAAATGTTTTTGTTGCGTAGGCCATACTTGAATTTCGCGTAGATTGTTTATACACTTTATAAATGTGTGTGCGTGTGTGTGTTAGTGAGTGTGGTGGCGCTATAAATATTTGCGAGCTTTTTACTTTCTCATGCATAAAACAGACAATCAGGCGGCCCGACTGGAGTTTTCTGCGGAATCGCGAAATCAGTTGCACAAATAAAGCGAAAACACACACACTCACGCACATACGCACACACGCACACATAAACAAATATTTATGTACGCATGGGGATTTATATTATATCTGCATTAAAGAATGTGCTGAAGTCGGCTAACGGCATTTCCCAATGGTATTATTGTCGTTTTCTTGTTGAAATTTGCTTGATTGTGTTGTTGTTGTTGTTATCTTATTTATTTTGTATCATTCCAAATGTTGGCTATGCCGTTCGCGCCATGTGTTGTTTGTACGCCAGTTGCCCACCAAGTCATAACTGTTTCGCCTTGTTTTGTTTGTCTCGTTCGCTTTTCGTGCTTTTTACTACAACTTTTTCCGTTATTGTTGTTGTATGTCGCCGCTTTTTTATGAGCAAAAGTTTTCCAGCTTTCATGAATATTAATATATTATACATTATGCAAACATTTGCCGCTGCTTTCTTTATTTGTTTTCACTTTTTGTGCGCTGTCTTTCATCTCAATTCATTTGCCATTTTTGGTTTTCAAATTTTAAAATTTTCGCATTTTCGCATTTTTGCTTTTATGATTTTTTGCATTTGTCATTAATTTTGCAAATTATTGTTTTGCTTTATGATTCTCTGCCGCTTCATGCTGTTTGAGTTTTATGCTAAAGCTTATGGCAACTTTGCTTTCGACGCTTTTAAAATACGATTAACACCACGAGGGGTGGATATAATTTTTATTCGGAAATTTGGTATTTTTCTTGCGCGACAATAACTTTTAATAATTGCTTAAAATTTTAGTTTCAAAAGATTATTTTAATAAGTGTAGAGAAATATTCAGCTAAGTTCGCGCCGAAATCTTGAAAAATCATGCCGCAGTGCAATATCAGATTAGCTCGGAAAGTGCTAGTTTGCCATCGGAATATCCTGGTTTACTTCGAATAAGTCACATTTTTAGCCAAACTCAGAAACCACAAATATTTTCAGCAGCTCTTTCGACAGCGCTAAAATGGGCGAAATCGAGCTAAAAATCCTCGTTTGTTCTAGTTACGTAGATAAACTGCCTTGGGTGTCCTTTTCTAATAACAGCGTGCCATGCTTAAAACGGATAAAATCAGGTGAATACTTCTTCAAGCCCCATCTATTTAATTCTAGGATTTACTAACACCCGCTTGAATTTATGCCTTATTTTTTGATCGGTCTGTAAGTTATCTTGGTGAAACTCTCAGGCTTCTATCTAACCCCAATATACCCTTTCCGGTGATTTCGAACATTCCAACCGAATTTTTATGGTGGCCAATATGTGTGTATGAAATGTGTTGGTTATACTATCTTAAACATAGTGCCTAATATGCAAGAAAATGTTATGCATCGACCGTGGATCAAACCTCACATTCCGAACTTTTGAATTCTATACAATGGTTTTTGGAACTGTAAATTAAAGCGGACAGTTAAGCATCTGTATCTGTATAGTACGAACGGGTTAAGTTTGTAACTCAAATCTGTTAAAAGTACCAGTTTCTTGTATAGGTTAAATACAGTTGGCTGACTAGATGGGCTTGGGTTACTGTTCGGCAAAAAACTAGCCATGACTTGAGGGCATTAGTTTTGCAAGGTTTTATACCGATAACTTCATTTAAGCTGAATTTGTATACTGCAAAGTAAATGGATCAAATGGAATTTGAAGTTGTAATACATGGGCAGTTTATAGAATATAATGGGAATGTTTAGATTAGCTCACAAAACCAAACAAAATTACTTAAAAGTGATGTCTGGCGACAAATACCACCGGGAACAAAAAATTGTAACAATAGTAATACAAACTTCGCTCGAAAACCTATTTGTCGAAATATTTTTATTTTAAAGTTGGTATTACTTCCAGTGACATCTGTGCCCAATATCACATCAAAACAATCAGTTGTGTTTGCTATAAGCCTGTCCTTTTGAAGCATATAAAGTGCATTCAGTAATTTTTCAAATGAGTGAAATTTTTCAACACATTTCTGGTGCCGAAACGGACAAATTGTTGAAAAAAAAAAATTATAATGGTTTAGAGTGTTTTTGATTGGTAAAAATTATTCAAAGAGGGTCGAGAAGGCGTTGACGACGAACCACTTCCAGAACAGTCACCAACATCAACTGATGATCAATACGTCAATAAAATAAAGGAATTGATGCTTGAGAACCAACAATTAAAATTCAGAGTCCATACTGGCATCGCTGGATCGGAAGGATCAGTGGAAATCATTTGGAAAGATCACTGGGCCTAAGAAAGTGAAAGTTCGATTGGTTTCAAGATCACTTACTTTTTTGAAAAACAGCATAGCGTGAACTTCTGTGAAACGGTGCTTTCCGACTACCAGGAGTACAAGAATATATTATTACTTGCGATGAATCATAGATCTATGTTTACGACCCGGAAACAGACGATGAATTGACCGAATATCGTGGTATAGATGAGCCGAAAACTAAAAATCCACGTCAAAGCGGGTCAAATTTCAAGGTTATGTTGACAGTTTTTTTCAATTTCGAGGTGTGGTGTAGTCCCAATTCCTTCCAACTGACCAAACTGTCAGCAAAGTATACAACTAGAGTGCTATGCGTCGTTTGCGCGAAGCTATGCGTAAAAAGGTAACGGAATTATGGGACGACAACACTTGTTTTTTGCATTTAGCTCCGTGTAACTTCTGCCTATCCAGCAAACTCAAGCTACATACGACTCCGGGGACATAGATTTAGTTTTAAGAACAAATTACTAATATTAAACAAAGTCTTATTACTTTTTGCTCAGTATATTATTGCAATAGTTAATACAGATAATAATGGAAATTCTTGTCATCATTTGGTTTTTGAAAATGACGAAGTATCTTAAGAAATAAAAATTTGATTACTTTGAGCAATAGATTGAAAATATAGAAAAATATACCTATGACTGTCTTGTAAAAAATGCTAGTCGATTGGTTTAATCGTTTTGGAGAATCATCGCCGAAAACCGTGGCTCGAGAAAATATTTCTTCAGTTACTATATATTAATATTTGATATATCAGAATGAGGATGAAGCCATGTGAGTGCCATTTCACTTGGAAGTGACCAGCAATGTTTTTTTTATATGTGGCTCAAGCATAAACCAAGCATCGTCTAGGTAGCCAAAAAACCTTCGTTTGAAGGCGAGCTAAAGTGAGAAGGTGAAGCATTTCTCCCCAGGATCTGCTGGATTTTAACCCGCCACGTTAAAAAACACTCCTAAAAAAAGAAGAAAGCAGCCTAAGATTAACGGCTGTATTCGTGTGAGCGGTGTCTACGCCTATAACGCCAATACGCTAAGCAGAAGAAGATATTAGAAAAAATAWAATTTTAGATATAACCGCTTAAGTCAGGCGTTTTTAATGATATTCTTGATATATATTTATAAATATTGTATTCAGTTTTTTTTATTAGCTAAAGTATACCTATTTATAATTTGTTCGATATTTTATATATTAAATRAAGAGTGTTGCTAAATATACTAACAATGTATATCCTTATGGTAKAATTGCATTTTATAMATTTTATAAATATTTTTKTATATTTTCCATGCAAATAACTGTAAGAAATCTTCRAATTACGTATACTTTAACAGGGGGTAAATAAGGAACGTAACTGTGAAGGTTCATTTTGAAGTATTTTGTTTCGGATTTAGTTATTTTTACTGGATTGATTTCCTGAGGTAGTCACAAATACATACAATAWAATTGAGATAACCGTACACAAACTATGGGGTCTCACTTTGCATATAATATAAATAACTACTTTTATATAAGTATAAAAATAATTGAGTGAATTTTTGKGCAAACAACTTACCGTCGACTACTTTGTATAATAGGTGAAAGTATAATCTCTAGACTGGAGGAAATACTTGGATTCGTTTGGTTGTGAATTGTGCTCACATTCGCATTGGAATTTTGCATGGAATTTTGGTTGCGATTTTGTGCTAACGAATTTTGATTCGAATTCGAATTGTTACCCAAATATTGATTTTGATTTGGACTCAGATTCTGATTGAGATTGAGATTCTGGTTGTGATTTTGATTTTGATTTGGATTTTGATTCATTTGMGAAATGTTGCAGCGATTGCGATTAGGCGTTGCATTTGCATTCGGGGCACTACAATTGTTTGGGGATGTGTTGTTGCTACTGGTGCGGGGATTGGTGTTGTTGGTGTTGGCATTCACATTAATATTCGTATTATAAGACAAATTGCCCGCACAGCCATTGCTATCGGCATTGGCATTGGCGTTGGCATTGCAATTATCGAGATTGTAATTGGCCGCGAGGGAATCACCGTCGCCAATGTCGGCGTTGTCGATAGCCTCTRCGGAGTCTGTCGCGTTGCAGCTATAGTTRTTATTGCCGCTGGCGCTATCGGCGGGCGATATTGCCAGCAATTCAACATTTCGCGTAAGTTCGACGTTGTAAGCGTCCTTCTCCGCCGTAGGCTCCCCCTCTCTGGCGTAGTGTTCCTCCACGTCTTCCTCCTCGACTTCTTGCACGTCTTCGAGCTCATCTTCGTTGTGCTCGTCGATGCTGCCTTCGCTGCAGTTTGATGATTGTGTTGTGCTTGTTGGTGTGGCACTGGCTTGATTGCCGCCACCGGTGTACTATTTATTTGGAGTTGGCGKTTTGGTTTCATATTTTTCAATTTGGATATTTTTATTGTTTTTGGTTTTGTTGTGGTAAGTAAAACAAACACGTACGCGGTGAAAAGAAAACACAATGGGAAAGGGTTTGTTGTTGAATCATTGAATTGCAAATAGGTACTGATATAATGTAGACATTATACAGTTACCACACGAGCATTTTACGAGCATTATACACAAAACTATACATTGAGAGAGCAGGCGGGGCGTACAATTGGATTAGAGGACATACACATTCACATGCGACAAAATTAGCTACAAATATTATATAAATATTTTATTATATACTAGTATATAGTATGTAGCTTATATAAAATAGTGTTATAATTAAATATATTTAGATAAATTAAAAACTGTTGAAACTAGCTTAAACATAAAAATATTTGTAGGCACGGGCATGCGAATACCAAAAACTTGCAGTTATC